ATACAAATGTCTTCCTTTAGCTTCCCTGTCCCACTGATGTTGCCATTCTCTCATGGCTTCTTTCCAAACTATAATTTTCCCTTCAGATTTTGACATCTTTATATTTACTTCAATATTCTCTTTTTTAATTGCTTGTTTAGCTAATTTATCCACTCTCTCATTGCCCAAAATGCCTATATGAGCTGGGGTCCAAATCAGTCGAATCTCATTACATTTTTCCTTTGCTCTTGTATATGTTGTTAATATTGTATAATATAACAGGTCCTGACGGCTATTGGACATACCTGCCCTGAGACTGTACAGTGCTGACAATGAATCACTTCCAATTAAAACTTTACTTATTTTGTCCTCCTTTCTAATCCATTCTAATGCCATCATGATAGCATATAACTCAACTGTATACACATTCATATCATTCGTGGTTCATTTGCTTTCTTCACCTCCTTGATTAACTATAAAAATTGCTGATCCAGTCCTTCCTGTTTCAGGACCTTTCGACCCATCTGTATAAATTTGAATATAGTCTCTGTATTTATCATCCACATATCGGTAGTATTCAGCTACGAGGTCTATACTATTGTTTATCATTTTGATTTGATGTAATTCAAAATCAACTTCCATGGTTTCAATCTTCCATACTGGAAAGTCAGGCCATACAATAGTTGGGCAGAACTCTTTTTCGCTCACCCCCAAATCTGTAGCTGTCTCATCTCCTATCCATCCAAAACTAAACTTTGACACCCTTTCCTTTTCCCAGCTAGCTTGCAGTACCCTCTTAGTAGGATGTCCAACTCTATGGCCCTTTAGATTAATCCAATAATTTACCAGCAATTGTTTACGTCGAATGTCCAGTGGCATTTCTCCCGCTTCCACTTGTAGTGCACATACTGGTGACGTTTTTACTGCTCCTAAGCATAGCATAGTCTCAATGCTTTAGCCTGTATTGTATCAAGTCTCGCAAGTACAGATTTGGCTGCTGATCCATATACCACACTCCCATAATCTATTCTTGACCTTATTAAACTTACATACAGTATATGTATTTCAGTGATTAATCACGTCACCTAACCAGTTATGTCACTTTAAAGGCACAATATGTAAGATTTTTTTTATTAAAATATCCAAAACCCACTACAGTGTTATATATGTTGCTGACTTGTGTACTTACATTATCCCAAATGTTTCGAAGAATGTTCAGAGAAATAAGCCATTTTAACTAGTGACATGGAGCGTGTCCATAGTGTCATTGTGTCGCCTGCCAATGATGTCATACACCCTCGATTTCCTGTTTTGTTTTGTAGAAAACATGGAAACACCAAAGACGTTTGCGTTTGAATAGACCGGTGACGACCGCACAGAGTAGCATAATAACAGAACGTTCAAATGTATCTAGTATGATAAAACAGCGCTGCGGTCAACTGTGGCATAATAAAAGCTCCGCTGCTTTCGAGCCATGTGTCGCGCTCGTTCAGCGGCCTCCTTTCGCTTCCAGGGCTTTCAGCCTCACCCTGCTTCATTCTACTATGTTAATAAATCATTAGCTCATCCATGAACATGATTTCTGCCCGAGTCCCATCGGATTGCATCTGCTGTGGGGATGAAGACGACAACTCCCATGATTCATCAAATTACGCCTTTGTCTATTTGTTTATTTTGAATATTCGCCCTCTAGCGGCGAAAATTACATATTGTGCCTTTAAGACAATCAAATATTGCTGTTTTTTATTAAGTTTTCTTTAAAGAGTGTTTATTGATATTTATTGTGTACTAGTTCACATTGCTGCAGCCAGCTCAGATCAATATTTACCTACAGAATTTGCATAAACAAAAACTAATGTTAATTCATTTGTAGCCTATCTCTACCTTAAGTCGCATTTAATGAAATACAGTTTTTACAGCGGGCTCTGCTGTGTGTTTAATAAAACTGATAAACAATTAATTAATTATATTTCCATTCCATTGTTTTATTTATAATATTTCTCCTATTCATGAATTGACTCGAGAACCGATCGTTCGGTTACAGTACGATTCTCGAGCGAATCGTTCAGACGAGATCTCGTTTTGTGAGCGGCATCAACTGATTCATTGAAAAGATTCGACTCAGTAGAGTGATACATTCACGATTCGGACATCGCTAGACGCTAACTCAATCTGGAAACAGCTTGTTCAACGTTGTTCAGCATTATCAGTTATGGAGGTCACCGGTCCTGATAGTGATTGGAGGAGTCCAGCCTTTCGACAGAAAGTAGTGGCCCAAATGTGAGTATACAAATATTTTTTTTGTATGTTTTATATTAACGCATTTTGGAAATAACAGAGGGCAGCTAGCTAGTTAGCTGCTAACTAGCGGATGCTCGGACGTGTTATCAGCTCATCTGTTAAGTACAGTCGAAATCTTCAATGATAGACTGTATGTGTATTTATATATGGTATCAATCTAATCACTGTATTTTTTTCATTAAATGAGATGCCATTTTTTTAAATGTTGTTTTGAGCTTGTTTAGCTATTCGGCTAGCTAATATAAAGTTAGCCTCATTACATATTAGTCCAAATATGTACAAGCGAAACAGTCTGCAGATATAAATATTGTTTAACATGTCGTGGGCAAAAGAAGATAACCTTTAAGATAATTAATTTGTCTTGTGATTTATTACTTAAGGCTCAGAAACTCCTCTAATAGTCACTCAAATGCTCCTTTTGTAATCACGTTGAAGAAAGAATTAGCCACTTATTTTGGAGTTGTGTTTATTGCCAAGTGTTTTGAATCGATTTTTCTAATATTTTTAAAAGGAATTTAAGATTGCACCAAAATTGTGTTTTTGGTGACTTTGAAAACAGACACTTTTCATATTAAAGGGATAGTTCATCCAATAATACTGAATACCAAAAAGAAAACAGAATACCAAAAAGAAAACAAAATACCAAAAAGTTCTGTCATCATTTACCAGCCTCGACTTTATTCAAACCTGTATGATTTTTCTTTCTTCTGCCAAACACTAAAGAAGATATTTTGAAGAATGTTGGTAGCCAAACAGTTGACGGTGCCATTGACTTCCATAGTGTTACATTTCTAAAACTCATTTATTCCATACTATGGAAGTCAGTGGCTAGTGGCTACTATCAAATGTTAGTTTACCAATATTCTTCAAAATATCTTCTTTTGTGTTCAGCAGCTGAAAGAAATTCATAGAGGTTTGCAACATCCTTAGGGTAAGTAAATGATGACAATTTTCACTTTTGACTGAGCTGTACCTATAAGGTTATAATTATTTTATTGCAACATGTTACATTTATTAACGCAACTAAATATGTTGATATATTTGAATCATTTGAATAAAGTCAAAACTTGTAAGAGTATTCTATTGAGTAATACTTCTGTGATAACAATACACTTAATTTCAGGAATTCATGTATTCAAATCTCTCTTAGATTATTTGATATTTTTTGCTAGTAAATGTTTCTTTGTTGCAGTAAATAAATAAAAAACAGCTCTTCTAATAGTGCTCATGTTCTAGATATTTCTTAAATGATTGATAGTCAGTTAGCAATAGGTAACAGTTCTTGTTTGTCATGCATCAATTGTGATAAAACATTCAGACTTCTGCTTTATTATATTGCAGAGATGAAGCCATGAGAAAAGCAGGAACTGCTCACACAAAGTCCAGTACTGACATGGAGAACCATGTTTTTATCAAGGCAAAGACCAGAGTAAGTATTTCTTTTAAATATGCATGCTACACTCCCAACAGAAAAGATTTGTTAGTATGTGATTGTTAAAAGTGCAATAAGTATACTATAATTTTTTTTCAACAGGAGGAGTATTTGTCTTTAGTTGCAAGACTGATAATTCATTTTAGAGACATTCGTAAGTAGCCAATATACTATGTTTTCATTGTTAACATTTTTTTTCTTTTAGCTGTGTCGTTTGTATGTGTACTGTGTATTGATCAGTTTGTTTTTCATTGCAGATAAAAAGTCTCAAGGTGGGCCTGGTAAATTTAAAGAGTTATTTTAGATCTTCTTATATACACTATTAAACTGTATGTGTTCATTTTCTGCCAAATTTCAAGGTATTATGGTTTATTTTAGACCCTATGAATGCCCTGCAAAGTATACCAGGAGTGGGTGGAGGTGGACCTGGAGTTATTGGCATTGGACCACGGCCCCCTGGTGCACAAATGGGTGGTATGGGGCCAATGCAAATGCAAATGGGTCAACATGCCATGCAGGGAGGCCAGCAGGCTGGTAAGTTCTATAGTATAGAAAAAAAATAATCTTATTTTAATTCCCTTACATTGCCTGTGATGCAATTTCAATCTCAGCAGGTGCTGCCGGGCAGATGCCTATGATGCAACAGCAGCAGCAGCAGCAGCAGCAGCAGTCCATTCAATTTCAGCAGTTTCAGTCGCAGCAACAGGCAGCCATGCAGGCTCAGCAGCCAGCAGCTATGCAGCCGAATGCCATGCAATTCCAACAGATAAGGCAACACCATCAGAATCAACAAATGCAGCATCAGAATCAACAACAGCAGCAGGCCCAGACTCAGCAGCAACAACAGAACCAGGTAATGGAGAATGGAAATATTAATGTTTGCTCCACTTAAATGGTGGTGGTGATGATCCATTGAATACTGCATGAATGTCTTATGAATTAAAGGGTTAGATTACTGAAAACAGAAAATTCTGTAATAATTTGTACAACTTATTCCAAGTCTTGTGTAGCCCTACTTATTTTATATATATTTAAATCATTAATCACAAGACATAGTCTAATAATCAGTGAAAACTAGGGCTGGGTTGACAATATCGATTAATCAGTTTTAATTGATCTTAATTTTGATAAACCAATTTTCAGATTAACTTTCTATGCTGTTTTCTGTTGATGTGTAAAAGGAACTTCAGTAAACACTTTTTGTAGTGCACCTGCAGCAATCAGAGTTGTTTTTGAGCTTTGTCAGATATAATCATCAATACTCAAATAAAAAATTTGAGTTGTATAAAACAAAAAAAAACAACTTTTTAATGATAAAATTCTATTTCTACTTCTGTTTGTTGAAATAACCATTTAAACGGTGGCTAACTTGTCATTTATTCAAACATATGACATCATTAGCTGGTTAAAGTTAGTTCACCCAAAAATGAAAATTAGTGCATAAATTACTCACCCTCAAGTCATCTTAGGTGTATATGTCTTTCTTCTTTCAGACGAATCCAGTCGGAGTTATATTAAAAATTCTCCTGCCTATTCCAAGCTCTATCATTGCAGTCAGTGGGTATTGCAGTGCTTCAGTCCAAATGAAGTTAAATAAAAAGTGCCCATCCATAAAAAAAAAAAAAAAGTGTCTCACACTGCTCCGGGGGGTGAACAAAGGCCTCCTCTAGTGAATCGATGCGTTTTTTTTGTAAGAAAAATATCCATATTCAAAATGTAATAATCACTTTAATCTAGTTTAACATGGAGCAGCTCCGGGAGGATGACGTAAGATGTCGACGTTGCTTATGTGCCGGTGAGTCTCGTGAAAACCAACGTTTGTTTACAGGAGCAAAGGAAGCAAAGTTTCCTTACTTTAGCAAAGGAAAACCAGTCTCCTCTTGGCTTATATCGAAATCCTCCGACATTCTTCTTTACAAATCATCATTTTGGATTCATAAGTAAACATCATAAAGAATATGAAAACTCTTTTTAACGTGGAATGACAGATCACTGTAACTGCCTCAGTTCACCTGCTCATCCTTTCCTCTTTACTACAAGTTATAAGAGAAAATCAACATAAATGAACATCAGAATATATATTGAAAGAAACGGTACAACTTACTGAAATGTATCATGTCTCATGTAATCACTCAATCAGTGTTTTAAATATAGAAAGACGTCAATGAAAGCCATTCAGTGTCCATAGACTCGATATAGTCAACTAGAAAAAACTCTAGAGAGAAGCATTTTGCTGAATATATGCACTGTATTATATGGAATAAATGATGTTAGCCACCGTTTAAAAGTTAATATTTCAACAACAAACTGCAGTAGAAATAATTTTAGCATTAAAAAGTTGATGTACTGCCTTATGTGCAATTTACATGTTTTTATGTATTGATGATTATATCTAAATATAAATCGAGATAAAAGTTATGTGCAACAAACTTCCCTATTCTGTAAAAGAGGATGTTCAACGTATTCCCTATTGATTTTGGAGACTGTTATTAGTTTTAACCTTTAAAACTATAGTAATGTACCAAATGACACGATTCCCTGTATAGTTTACAGTATTAGTAGAGAGATCAGAATCGAATCAAGAGTTTGTGAATTGGAATCTAATCGTTTAATATTATCTGTACCAATACCCAGCCCTAATTGAGTTCCTTTGGTGATGTTTCATTTCTCATTGAGTATATATTGTTTTAATGGCTCTGCCTCCAGTTGCACCAAACAAGAATGCAGCAGCAGCAGCAGCAGTTAGCACAAATGCAGCAACTGCAACAGCAGCAGCAGCAGCAGCAACTGCACCAACAACAGGTTCATGCACAAGCTCAGGCCCAAGCTCAGGCCCAAGCTCAGGCCCAAGCTCAGGCCCAAGCTCAGGCTCAAGCTCAGGCTCAAGCTCAGGCTCAAGCCCAGGCCCAGGCTCAAGCTCAGGCCCAGGCTCAAGCTCAAGCCCAAGCTCAAGCCCAGGCTCAAATGCAGCAGCAACAGTCCTCTTTACTACAAGTTATAAGAGAAAATCAACATAAATGAACATCAGAATATATATTGAAAGAAACGGTACAACTTACTGAAATGTATCATGTCTCATGTAATCACTCAATCAGTGTTTTAAATATAGAAAGACGTCAATGAAAGCCATTCAGTGTCCATAGACTCGATATAGTCAACTAGAAAAAACTCTAGAGAGAAGCATTTTGCTGAATATATGCACTGTATTATATGGAATAAATGATGTTAGCCACCGTTTAAAAGTTAATATTTCAACAACAAACTGCAGTAGAAATAATTTTAGCATTAAAAAGTTGATGTACTGCCTTATGTGCAATTTACATGTTTTTATGTATTGATGATTATATCTAAATATAAATCGAGATAAAAGTTATGTGCAACAAACTTCCCTATTCTGTAAAAGAGGATGTTCAACGTATTCCCTATTGATTTTGGAGACTGTTATTAGTTTTAACCTTTAAAACTATAGTAATGTACCAAATGACACGATTCCCTGTATAGTTTACAGTATTAGTAGAGAGATCAGAATCGAATCAAGAGTTTGTGAATTGGAATCTAATCGTTTAATATTATCTGTACCAATACCCAGCCCTAATTGAGTTCCTTTGGTGATGTTTCATTTCTCATTGAGTATATATTGTTTTAATGGCTCTGCCTCCAGTTGCACCAAACAAGAATGCAGCAGCAGCAGCAGCAGTTAGCACAAATGCAGCAACTGCAACAGCAGCAGCAGCAGCAACTGCACCAACAACAGGTTCATGCACAAGCTCAGGCCCAAGCTCAGGCGCAAGCTCAGGCCCAAGCTCAGGCCCAAGCTCAGGCCCAAGCTCAGGCCCAAGCTCAGGCTCAAGCTCAGGCTCAAGCTCAGGCTCAAGCCCAGGCCCAGGCTCAAGCTCAGGCCCAGGCTCAAGCTCAAGCCCAAGCTCAAGCCCAGGCTCAAATGCAGCAGCAACAGCAGCTTCAAGCCCAGGTCCAGGCTCAGGTCCAAGCCCAGGTCCAAGCTCAAGGTCAAGCCCAGGTGCAGGCTCAGGGAGTGGCCGGTCAGATGCCCCCTCATTCGCAGCAGCAGCAAGTCATGGTGCCCCAGTCATTAGCACAAATGGCTCCCGGACAGCATCAACCCATCAGCTCACTCAGCCAACAACAGCAGCAACACCTGAAGCTCCAGCAGGTAATGCAGGTAAAGCTGCAAACTGCAAATAATGCAAAATTCATAACACTTTTTACACCTATTATTGACATTCGTCTTGGTTGATGTGATTGTAAATAGTCAGATGAAATGTATATTGCACCTGGCAGTTTCAGTGTCTCATATACCTTCCTGTTTGCTTGGGTTTATACAAGCAGGCAAGAGTATTACAGCAACAACAACAACAACAACAACAACAACAACAAAAACAGCAGCAGCAGCAACAACAGCAACAAC